GGTTGGTGAAGTGAATCTGGCTTCCTCATTGACTTGGCTCGCCAGAAGGTCGTAAAAGGGGATCGCATGACCACAGGACACAGCAAACGGTCATAAAGATGAGCCGTGTTTTTGCCAAGCACCTGAATTTTGATCACGTGACTACGGGCGGGATGGATGCTGCAAAGTCGTACGTGTGAAAAACAGTTGTAAGTCACATTTTTCAGTGCTGTCATAACTTGGGACAGTCACTAAATGAATGGTTGTGAATCAAGGGTTACCCGTGCTTCAAATGCGGCCGCAGAAATGCAGTATGTAGTGTTATCACTTCACATGATCTCGAATCAGAGGTGGGTTCCTACCGGTTCGCACCGGTTCAGTAGAACCGGTTCATCAAATCTACCGAACGGGTTAGANCATCGTTACATGATTTATATATTGCCAACCCAACCATTAGATTATATTAATAACAATGTCCCTGCAGAAAGAAGAGTAGCCCCTCAAGCATTTTGCCTGCTGGGCTAGATTTCTCCCTGCGAGGCAGACGTTCAAAATTTGATCCCTTCCCCTTATTCCATCCACAGCTGCCTCCTTTCAGCACCTCTTATTCTGAACTACCTTCCCCTCAGCATTCCCTCCTTCTCTCCCAACGCAAAATGGACAGATCACTTTTCTTTTTAAAAGAAGTCCCTAAACATCTAGGAGGAATTTGTGGATTTGTGCGAAAAACGGCTTAGGGAGGGGAAGGGGGGGAGGATGATGAATGCTGGCTTAAAAAATATGTTCTCCATTGTGGCTTGGGGAGGCATCCTCCCGGCATCCTGGTTTGAATTTTTAAGCCGTCTTACTCACCGCGCACCTCCCCACTTCACCAGAAGGCACCTGAACATCAAAATAAATATTTGCCAGGAGCTTGTGATGTGGGTTGCAATTTTTAAAAAAAAGGAAAGAAATGCACACGCAGCCGACACAACAAGGTATATCTTAAGGAATATTAGCAGGCGCTGCTCTTCTATTCTCTTTGAGATATGTCGAGTTTTAGACAGTCCCGGGGAAGCGAGTGTAATAGTTGTGCCGGGTAGCAAAAAAAGAATGAAATAAAAATCGCTCGGAATACTAATTGACAAAGTGCGGTGGCCGAAAGCCTCCGGAATTCCTCTAAAACAAGAGACAGAATCTCAGAGTGCAAATCCCCAAACTATAATTCCAGATCGGCTTTGTGCGAGCAAGCGTTCAAAATAACGGGTTTAGCTTATGAATAAATGTATGCAAAACCCCTGGAAATTAGTACTCTCGTCCCATAACTTAAAGATAAAAGGCGCCATCCAGCCGCGGGTGTGATTAATAAAAAAATAAAAAGGTGATTACATTGGCGGGGCTTGTTGGGGGCCGAGCTCTTTGTCCTGGATTAATCATCTAAGTGGGGTTTTGAACAAGCATCGTGGGGGGGGGCATGCGGGGGGGTTAGATTTGCAGATTTGAATTCGAGAGGAAACGCACACAAAGAAACCGGGAAAGAGAGACACTTTGGTTAAAGCAGCAGGGTAGAAACCGGGGAGCCTGGGAGTTCTAGTCCCGTCTTAGGCATGAAAGCTGGTTAAATGATTTGGCCCAGTCACTGGGTGACTTGGAGTTCTAGTCCTGTCTTATCCATGAAAATCAGCTGGGTGACCTAGGGTCAAACAGCAGGAGACGGTGAGTTCTAGAGCCCGCCTTAAGAGTGAAAGCTGGCTGGGTGACTTTGGGATAATCGCTGGGAGACGGTGAGTTCTAGGCGTGCCTTAGGTGGGTGATTCGGGGCCAGGCCCCCTCTCTCTCTCTCAGCCCAACCCACCTCACAGGGTGTTGGGGGGGAAATAAAAGGAGGAAGGAATAGGTTCCCTGCCTTGCATTAGTTCTGAAATAATAAAGAAAGAAAGAAAGAAAGAAAGAAAGAAAGAAAGAAGGAAGGAAGGAAGGAAGGAAGGAAGGAAGGAAGGAAGGAAGGNAGGAGCGAAAGGGGAGGGGGCTTTTGCAGGAAACAATTCGTTAGTTCATTTCAGGAGTGTGAAGATCTGTCCGTGAATCTCAGAGACTCTGTGCCGAGTCTTTCCTTGCGCAGCATCTCATTTGGGAAATATTTACATGGCAGCTTTCCAAGCTAGATAAGGCCTGTGGTCATATATACTCCTTTTAAAGACTGTTTGACAGGCCTTTGCCTGAATGTGAATGAGAGGAATTCACATTCATTTAATAAAAGGGGTTTTGTCGGGACCAGGACTCTCCTTCGTGCTTTTTGGGGAAGCCGAGGTCAGAACAGAGGAATCGGGAAGATCCCGTATGTCACACATGGCCTAAGACAGCTGGTTCTGCTAGAAGAGTCTGGACAGAGGGAGAAATCCACCCTCCAACCTCCCGTCCTTCCTCTCTCATCCCTGAATTTTTTTTAAAAAGGCACTCACTCGCAGACAAAGGTCCCCAGTGGAATGTCTTGCATTGTCCGAACGCCCCAACCCATCTTCCTCGTCCGGAAAAGCTGCAACCTTGTCCTGGAAGAAGAAAAGAGAAGCTCTCCAAGACCATCCAGTGCTGGGTGTTGACCTTTGGGTCTCAGAATTGGCCGGTGTTGTATTTCTACAGATGAGGTTTCCAACCGAAAGATGAAATGGGATGAATTTATAGAAGAGCCGGATCTGTGGCTTTCTCAGACATGTTTTACCAGTTTCAAAGAACAAAGGAGGACATGGATGGAAGGGACCTTGGAGGTCTTCTAGTCCAACCCCCTGCCCAAGCAGGAGACCCTATCCCATCCCAGACAAGTCGCTAGCTGAGTCTCAGAGAACAGCCTTCTCTGCTGCAGCCCCAATCCTCTGGAACGTCTTTATTATTAGATATTAATATTTATATATTAGAAAGACAGGGTTGGAAGGGTCCTTGGAGGTCTTCTAGTCCAACCCTATGCTCAAGCAGGAGATCCTACACCATTCCAGACCAATAGTTGTTCAATCTCTTTTGGAGCATTCAACAACTTCTGGAGGAAAACCATTCCTGGTTAATTGTTTTCACCGTCAATAAATTCCTTCTTAGTTCTAAGTTGCTTCTCTCCTTGATGAGTGTCCATCCTCTGCTTCTTGTTCTGCCTTCAGGTGCTTTGGAGAATAGTTTGAACTCCCTCTACTTTGTGGCAGCCCCTCGGATATTGGGACATTGCTATCATGTCATCCCATGTCCTCCTTTTTCACTAAACTAGGCATCGTTCTTAATTCTGTCCTCCCCCGGCTACAAATGCATGGTTCAAAGGAACATCTGAAGTTCTCACCGGAGTCCGTTTTGCACCACCCGATTCCGGCAGTTTCTCCAACAGGAACAGGCATGGTTACACTCGAAAATTAGCGGAGGTTCGGCCGTGTTGAATTCTGGCAGCAGCCGTCCATCCTGCACCCCGGGGGGAAAAGGAAGGTTTTAGGTGAACCTCTGTTGGCCTGGTGTCTCAAGGCCATATATGGTGGAAACTCAATTTAATGAGTAGACCTCAGCTGGATGACTTTGGTTTTGTCTCTGGACATCGCCGGTCCCCCAAGTCCTTGACTTATGACAGTTCATTTGTGAGAATATTTACAGATCCCTCACATCCTGGACATCAATGGTTTCAACTCCTACCCTCAAAACGACCCTCTAGGGCCCTGCACTCCAAGACAACTAGACACAAGGACAGTTTTCCCCCCCGAACACCATCACTCTGCTCAACAACTAATCCCAACAACGCTGTCAAACTATTTACTAAGGTTGCATTACTATTACTATTAGTCTTCTCATTGGTCCTATCTCCCATTTCCTCCGACTTATGACTGTAACTTTGTTGCTTGTATCCTTACTATTTATATTGATATTGTTTCCTGATTGCTTATTTGTACCCTATGACGATCTATTAAGTGTTGAACCTTATGATTCTTGATGAATGTATCTTGTCTTCTGATGTACACTGAGAGCATCTGCACCAAAGACAAATTCNTGATTCTTGATGAACGTATCCTTTTTTTTTAATGTACACTGAGAGCATATGCACCAAATTCCTTGGGGGTCCAATCACATTTGGCCAATAAATAAAGAATTCTAATTCTATTCTACTCTATTGTATGGTTGGGGTAATATATTCTTCCAAAAACCCGCAAATCAAATGTTTTTGATTAGTCTTTACAACAAAAGAGTACAGTAAAAAGGCAAGTGCTTTAACATGGCAATTTATTGTTGAAAAAAATAATAATAGGACAATAAAGTAACATGTAATTAAAAGTTTTGAACAATTGAATAATTTGATGAAGATCTTTGGCCTTCTGGCATGTGAGTGTGGGATTATCAGCATCCCTTAAAAATAATAAATATAAAATTTATCTGTATGCCCCTCGTATTTGGAAATGATTGGAACATTAGAGCTTATCTTGGGGCACCATAGAAAGGCTGAGAATTTCTACCTCTCTGGATCCATGCCGGCAAACTCTCTGTAAATAAGGAGTCTTATAGAAATCTTCCCGCCAGTAGAACTGATAGGAGAGCACCAAAGTAGGATCTGGAGAAGATCCAGCTGTAGTTTGGAACTTGGAAAAAGTCTGAAACGTTGCGGGGTTTTGTTTAAGCTTATTACCAACTGTGAAAAGATCAAGGGTGAATTGACCAGTGGTGAATCCAGTGTCTTGTTTAAATGGTGTTTGAGGTTGATAAGCCAAGATCAGCTCACATCCTGGCCTTCCCCCCTTTCCAGAGCAAAGCTGCACTTCTTAACCCAACACAGAATGTCCTAGATAAAGCTATCATCACTATTAAGCGCTAATAAAGATAAAGGTATTTAATTTCAGGGAAAGGGAGGGAGTATGCTTCCTTAATCTTGACAGATTGTATTTCCAGCGCCTTACATGGAAATGGTTCATCAGATAGACGCTCGCTAATTGGGATGTTTTCTTCCCTTCTTGCCTCTCTTCCCCCCACTTCCCTCCTCCTCCCCTGGCTGCTGCATATCTGGCTTGCTGGGTGTTTGACAACTGCAGGACTCTGTTTGGAAACAAGATCAAGTCTGTGGCCAAGGAGGCGTTCTCCGGCTTGGAGGCCCTGGAACACCTGTGAGTAACCCACAAGGCTTTGCAGGTTGGGAGAGGAGGGAGGGGCTGGGTGGGAAAAGGGAGGCTTGCCAGGAATGGCTGCTGCAACGGCCTGCAAGCAATTTAATAGCATCTTTGTAAGCTGAGAAGTTCCCTTTCTGAGAGCCAGCTGCTTCCTTCTCATTATAAGTCAGCTCCAACTTTGGCTCTGCTTTTTTTTTNCCTCTTCAAAACCTTGGTGTGTCTTATACTCAGGTGTCTTATACTCCGAAAAATACAGTAGTGTATAAGATTTGCAAGTTGAACAATTTCTCTGACCTTCCTAGGTTCTAATTGTACTTGATCCGTGTCTTTATTCAGGGGAGAGAGTTACAGGAATATTTATATTAATAAAAACCTGAAATTAAAGAAACCTTCCAAAAGTCCCCATACCGTATCCTCCTGAATTAATTTGTTGCAGAAGTTTAATCTCTTCTGTCATCAGGATTCAGGATGGGCCATATTGCACTTTAAAAAAGAAGAAAGGAAAATGCTAGAAATCAGATAAGTAACCGAATAATACTGTCAATATTATCCCAAACCAAGCTCCGCAGGGCCAATTTAGCTCCAGCTATGGGGCGCCAGCAGAACTAGGAAAGTGTTCAAACATTTCTTGGATTGTAGGAATCAAGTATCTATCAGATTTGATTTCATGACCAGAATATTTGAATGTCTCCCTGCGGCGATTTCTCAAGTCAGAGCCAAACGGTATGCTAGAATTGACTTGCATTGCCTTTGTTTTAAAAGTATACTTCTTACTTAATATATATTGCAAAGTGTAAGGAAGTAATTGAAGATTATACTAATTATTACTGTTGTAGTTATAAACTAAAGGAAATAAAAGAATAAAAAATAGAAGGTTCAGAAAAGAAAGAAACAGAAAAGAATATAGTAAAGAAAAAGAAAAGAAATATATAAGGAAACAATTTGCTTCTTCAATACAAAAGGTATAAGCATTTAGTCACATATCACCTTCTCTTATGCAACAAGCTTCTTTCCATATCTCAATATTTATTGGTAAACTAATCCATAAAATATCATTTTAATCCTAATTATACCAAAAGTCCATTGTCCACCTTTTTGTTGTTTGTTTCCCCCTCATCTGTTTAAGTTCCTAAATTTGTCTATCCAAATGTTCCTAATAGCTAAAATGTAGTTAAGACACAATTTCCAAAAGTTATTAAAAAAGAGGTATCCTCTCAAAGGCGCTAACCACAGTTTGAACAAAAAGTTGAGTATTCTTTCATCCTTCAGAACTCCAAGCAAGCCTACCATTTTTCAGTCTCCTTTTGAGTAGCAACTGTCTAGAATACTTGTGGGCGATCTCAAGTCATCTCCTTATCCAGAGAGGAATTACAAAGAGCTGGTCTCCTTGTTGGCTCTTCATTCTGCTGTGGTTGTTCGCTCTGCTTTTTGCCAAGCAATAATCAGTCCTACAATTTTTACCCGGAAGTTGCAGAATAAGTTAGAAGACAACAAAGTTAAAACACATACTACATACAGTGTGGCATACCAAGACTTTTAATCACCTTGGCTATCAGAAAGAAAATTCATTCATTCATTCATTCATTCATTCATTCTCTCTCTCTCTCTCTCTCTCTCTCTCTCTCTCTCTCTCTCTCTCTCTCTCTCTCTCTCTCTCTC